TCCATAATGTGGGCAGGAGGCACCAAGCTGGGAGAGAGAACAGCGTTCTGCCTGCTCAGGGAGCCCCACCCCTGCCTCTGTTCCACAGCCACTACCAGGACTAAGTTAGGAAGTGAGGATGCTCCTTCCCTGGTCCTCTCATTAAACAGCAAATGGCAATTTTACAATCCCCCATTTAATTTTATCATCAGGACCTGACCTTTGTGAAAAATTAGAAAACGCAAATTGACAAAAAGAAAAGGAAAAGTATTCCCAAATTCCACCACCCAGAGATAGCTGTATTATCGTTTTAGTGTATCTGTAGTTTCAGAACATGAATGTTAAGTGAAAAAAATTAGGATATAGAACCACATATGTGACAATTGACCCAATTTTGTTTAAAAAATAAAACAGCTGACGCACACAAGAGACTCGACAGAACACAATGAAGCACAGGAAGCATGCAACTCCAGGCAAGGTTGGCAACGTTTATTTCTTTAGCTTTGTGCTTTTCTGTATTTTCCAAGTTTTCTATGCTAAAAAATTGACATATTACTATTACAATCAGAGAAAGACACATATTTACAAGAAAGAAAAAACACAGCTAAAAGACAAGTAACAGGAGAAAAATATTTGCAATACATATAAAAGACAAACGGTAGTATTTATGTTATTTTGAGTTCATATACATCAAAAATAACGAGGAATACCTCAAAGTAACAACGGGCAAAGGACATAAAGAGGCAAGTTGCAGATTACGAATTGCTAATCTAACATAAAAGTGATTCCATCTCACAAGTAATCAAGGAAATGAAACTTCAAACAAGGAGACAGTAATTTTCACCCTTCTGCAGGCTGAAGTGAAGAGACTGGCTATCATGTGGGCCACTGTCTGGGCTCACTCATGGTCTGACGGCAGGAGAGCACGTGGAGCAGCGCTCTGAGGGCTACTGGCCAATTATGAAAGTTCTGTCAGCTCATCCTATCAACCAGCCTTTCTACATGTAAGATTTTGGTCTTAATGAAATTATCCTGCAGGGTTGCAAAGCCCTCCTTTCAGCAATATTCATTGGCAATCTCTGCATCTTAACCAGAGGGGCATCACTAGGGACACTGGCAGCACAACTCTGCACCTGGCCAGGGGGTGGTGTCCAGGAGACAGAGGAGTGTGCACGGACACAGGTGGGCAGCACGTACATGTCATCAGGTAAGAGATCGAGTTAGAGAATAGCAGATAACAAGGTCTCCTTCTCATTCAAGTCTTAGCGGCCACGTTAACGCTCATGTGGAGAAGGTGGAGGACATGGACTTGACCTCCCTGTGTCTGGGATGCTGTCTCTGGGCTCAGGGTGCAGGGGATGTACACAAACTGACTACACTGGAATCACGAACAGACATTTGCCAAAAGACAAAAGGAAGGTCATCTGACTACACACCTAAAATGTTTAGAGCTCAGCAACATGCCCACCCAACCCCCAAAGGGCGCACGGCCAGGGATACAGGCTGCACAGGTCATCCTGGCTCCCAGCCCTGAGAGTGTCTGTGACTGGCAGCCTGGGCTGAGACATACAACTAGCTCTTCCAACGGCTGGTGGTGGGACCGTGGCTAGGTCCCTGCCCTTTTCAGCCTCAAGGCCCCGCAGCTCGTGCCTGCACTGGGCCTGGCTAAGCTGGCCTCTTTAAAGCCACTGCAGTGCCACTGGCCTTCTGCCAGCACCCTGTGGCTGTCCCCAAGCATTCCAGGGAGCTTTTTCAAACCCACCACTTGCTGACAGAACCTTATGTGGCTCCAAAGGCAGAACATGCCTCTGGGGCTTGCTGAGTTAATATCAACAGATCATCTCTAGTGGCTAATCACGGTCCAGCCCTTGACACAGGCCCTGGGAAGGGCTGAACTTCTCATCACAAGCCTGCACACCTCTGACCTCTGAAGGAGTATGGCTCCGTGCCAGGGTCCCAAGCACGGGAGGGGTAGAGTCCTGACTAGCTGGCAGAGCCATCCTCTGAGCCACACCAGGCCTGGCTGCTGGAGAGGAGGCAAGGAAATACGTTCAGGTGGGAGGGGTGGGGATGGGAGCAAGACTACCTCTCATTCTCTCCTTTTGTTTACCTGTGCTTTCTAGTTGTTGCTAACAAACATATGCTCCTCACAATTTATAAAGGCCACATATGACTACAGCAGGCAAGCAGGGATGGCCCTGAATGGGGAGGCTATGCACACAGGGCAGGCCAACCTGGGCATTTACCCCATACATGCTTGGGAGGACGTGGGTCAGGGACACATACGAGAGCTTTGGGCTGGCCTTTGGGATGGGCTCTGCCACACCAGGGGGGTGTTGGGGACAAAGAAGGATAGTTAGGACCCCTTTCCTATGTACCCATGAAGGTCAAAGCCTAGAACTGGGCCCAAGATGGCCAAGAAACACATGACCCTCCCACAACTCCTGGGCTCTGAGTAGCAGCCCCCAAAACCTGTCCTGGGCCCCAGTGAAAAGGCACCTCCAGGGAGAGCAGTGTCCAGGGCCTGCCTACTAGGGCCTGACTGGGAGGCCTAGCCAGGTGCTTCCTTCCTTCCCCAGGATAGCTTGCAGCCTTTCCTGGGGCCAGCAGCCAGGAGCATCTGGCATTAGCATCAGGCCAGCCACAGGTATGGTTATGACCAAGGTCCCAAGCTCCAGGCCTGTGGTTTGCCCAGGGTTGTTCACACCTGCCTCTTGGCCAGGTGTGAGACCTCCCTAGGCTCCTCACTCGATCCTCCTCTGTGTCTCAAAAGTGCTCTGTGAGGCCCAGTCCAAGTGTAGGCTCTGGGAGAAGACAGCAGAGGACAACGTCAGGGTCAAGGGGCAGCTGTAGGGGTCAGAGATCACCTTTGTTCTCTTCCACAGGCTGCCATACCCTTGCTACTACCCTCCCATCACCACCCCACGCCACGTCTGTCCCCATTATGGGGTTGTTCCAGGCACCACTTCGAGGAGGCTTTCTCAGGACACAGACTTCTGGATCCTGGTCAAGGTGTCCTGTGCCCTGACAGCCACTTCAGGCCTGCTTAGTTTTCTTGCGCCCTGCACCTGCCCCCTCCTCCGTGGCCTCTAGGGAACCCCAAAAACACATATGATCAGTCCAGGAAGTGCAGTTCCTCAGAGAACAGGGCGTTCTGTCCCTACTCAGCCACCCGCCCCAGCCAGCAGCTCGAATCCCAAGGGAGCGGAAGTTGGCGCTGCAGTGGGCGCAGACGTGGGGAAGAGGGAGGGGTAGGTTTGGCCAAGTTCCAAATCTTCCCACAGTGGCCAGGGAGGGTTCAGCTAGTATGCAGACCTATCTCCCACTAGGAAAGGAAGAAAGGATTGACCCATTTCACAGATGGGAGAAGTCAGGAGAGGTCTCCCTGGTCCTGGCACAGGGGTGCCTGCCGTTTGGGGTACCTGACTCAACATACCTCTGTATCCAACCAGAGTTCCATCGGCAGCCGTGAGGCACCTGTCTGTAGGGGCTTCCGGAGCTCACCACACTTTGTCCCCACTTGGCAGAACCTGCAGCCCTGATAGCCTCAAGCCAGTGCCAGCCAGAGGAAGGGTCCCCAGCAGTGTTATGTTCCGGTCACTGGGCTGACTGGGGCTGCAGCAAAGGGATCCCTAGCAGACCTTGCTGTCCAATGGACCTCCCCTGCAGCTGATGGATGGGCACAGTGCAGAGCACACCTGAGTCCTGCCCTGGACCAGAACTTCCTACTAGATTCACGTGGCCTAGGACTGGCTGCCCTCCCAGTGCCCCTGGGACAAGACTCTAGCCTGGCTCTCTATGAGGTGGGCCTCAGAAGGCAAGGAGGCAGAGGACAGGCGCTGAGAGGCCACAGGCCTCAGACCAAGAGGGCCAAACTTCTCTGTCAGAAGCCATCATACTACAGGGTAAAAAGCGACACCCAAAAGGCTCTGATGCTTCAAGGCAGACCCATTTCTTCTTCTAGGGGGGTCTGCCCTCACTGCCACGCAGAACACGGGGCCCTGCTCTAAGTCCCTGACTCCCTGACTTTGACCCCCAGACTCAGCTCCTAGCACTAGAGTGCCTGAGAACACATCCTGGCCTCCATCTGTAAGACTGATCCTCCCCAAGACAAGGGCACAGCCTGTCAACACAGTCAGCCATACTCAGGACATGACAGGCTTGGGTGAGGGGGGCTTGCTGGTCACAGCATCCTCTCAGCAGAAGGGTAGGCCAGGTATGCTAGGCAGCTCGCATGGGGTTAGGGAAGGGTGGTGCCACTTACCTGTGCTTTTCTAGTTCGTTGTGTGAAGACCTGTTTAGAAAGACAGAAAGATAGAGCTCACTCCACTGCCTGAGCACCTCAGCACAAAGAAAGGTGGCTCTACTAAGGGAGCTGGGACCACTGAGAGTGGCTGGATGGGTCTGGGGCCCAGGATTGCCCAGGACTATGGGGGCTTGGGGAGGGGAACCCACACAGAGCAGGGAGGCACAGAGTTGCAGGCAGGTCCAGGGCCACCTAACCCAACTAGTGAGGCCTGGAAGGACTCTGGCTGGCAGGAAGGTCAGGTCCACTTCTGGAGGAGCAGCACTGGCCATGGGCCTGAGCCTCTCAGTGCTCTCATGATACCCAGGCACTGGGTCACCCGCCTTCTCCACCCCCTACTCCCCGAGGACATCTATGTTCTCAGGACCAACACGGTTGGCATGGAAGGCCAATGGCAGGTTCAGCATAGAACATACAGGCAGCCCTCGGGAATCAGGGTGATCCTGTCCTGCTGTCATCGCCCTGTCAGGCTCATATACCTGTATGATGGGGACACCCAGGGGGCAGGACAGTCTCAGCCAACTCAGCCCACAAGGGGAATTTGTGGGTGGATGCTTTCTGAGCATGTTGAGGAGCCCTCCCATTTCCCTCAAGGGCCCTGTCCTGGTAGGACTGGCTCCCCTGTGCCTAAGCTCAGTGTCTCTAGGATCTGTAGCCTCGCCTGCCTGGCTCACTGAGACCAGGACACAGAACACTGAGCACCACAGGGGGCAATGCCGGGCATTTGCAGCAGGGCCAAACTTCTAGCTCCCGGTCACCCCTCCTAGTCCAGAGAGTGTCACAGATTCAGTCAGGGCTTCTAGGCCTCCCTGGCTGCTGCACACATGAGCAGAGAGCTCAGGAACCTTGGGGCACACCTGAACCAAGCCCTGAGCCCTGGGGCCAGAGCACCTGGCCATCCTGGTTGCCTCTACCACCGGCTGCAGCCAGCTGGAACCCCATGCCTCTCCTCTTCTGACAGGGATGCCAGTTCCTAGGCTTCCTGTGAAGCCTTAAGAGCACCTCTTGACCCAGACTCCAGGATCCTTGAGGTCTTGCTGGTCACATGGGCTGGGCAAGGAGCCTTAGAACCTCTGATAGCCCAGTGGGGGCACAGAAACATGTTCCTCACTGGCCTGCTGGGGGATGTCCCTCAGTGCAAACCACAGCTGGCCAGGGATGTTTGCATGTATACGGGCCCACGACAAAGACTGGAGTCAGCAGGTGTCAATAAAGAGAAGTCTGCCTGCCCCTTCGAAGGATGGCACTGGGCCAGATCCCACCCTGGAGATAAAGGGCACTCTTTGGGCAGCTAGGGA